AATACCCTGCAGATACCTGGTCTGGCTTTTACTCCTTTTGAAGGGGTAAAATTTACAAAGTTAATAGAAGGGATTTTTGCCACTTACAATGCAAATGCAATAGAGGTGTTAATGAACAAGGTCAGATATGTGCCTGTGTTACAGGTAATTAAATCCAACTACTTAGCCAGACTACTCTTTCCAACTTCCAACCACTTTGGTGCTTGTGAGCTATGTATATTGGGTAAATTGGACAGCATTTGGATTTCGAAGAGTGTCATACACAAAGGAAATTTGAACAACTTTTGCTTGAATTCCTGACAGGCATGTCTACACATAGTACTGCAGGAAATACAGGTGCCACCTCACTGCTGGAACAAATAGCCACCGTGTCAAAGGGTAGTACTGCTGCTGCTGCTTCACAGAAAATGGAAGCAGAAACTACAAAAAGAGAAACTGCAGGAGGCTGAGGTTCCCTACTGTTCTGTACTGCTAAACTTAGCCTGCAGTCCTCTACGGATGAGACAGGCTTTTACTGTTATGAATGAAGTAAATGGAATTTTACTTCTCATAGCTTTCTTGGAGCTAGTTGTTAGGTAGTGTGGGGTTTTTGTGTCTCCCCCCACCTCTCCTTTTCCAAGCTTACTCTGGGGTCAGCATAGGGGTTACTTGCTGTGGGCTAGCTCCACTAATGCAGTTCTTAAAGTGCCACCTCCCCAGCAGCTCACACTGATCAAAAACTCCTGGAAGAGCTCAGCCATACAGCGTGTGGCCATACCCACTGAGGGGGAGAGCTGGGCAGGGTGGTCTTGCACAAACATTACCCTGTTAGTGTGAATGCTCCACGTTGGCATCGGCTGTTCTGTTCGCCTTCCTCCACCGGTGCTAGAGGTGTGAAATGTCAAACTCAACAGTAACCTGGGGTTTTCAGTGAACTGCTAGATCATGGCTTGATAAACGCTTATTTTGGCAGCTATCCTCGGCGCTCCCTTCATTTCTGCAGGGCCAACTGTTTGTCCGTGTGTGCTGGGGCCAGGAACTGGTCTCATTTTAACAACTTGGCACAAAACAAGGGGCTTTTGGGACGAATTGGCATGCAAGTGACAGCACACCTGGGTGCAGGATGGGAACTGGGCAGCAATTTATTCTGCACTGCAAAGGCAGCTACATTTCTACAGATCTGGGTGCAAGATGTGTTCTGCTGTGGACTTCCCACAGTGCCACGAGCATGAGGAACGCTCAAAGCATGGGATACATGCACAACTAAAGCTTTTGAATTGTAAAATCGGCAAGGTGTTGTATTAGAATAAACTCTGAATCCTTTGTGGCAGCCAGATTGTTCAACTAGAGCTTTTTTATTCATTGTGCCTTCACCTTTTGCACATTAACTTTGGTTAATCTCCATCCTGTAGCATCCCTCTTGAACTCCTCCATGTTACTTCCTTGTCTCCCTCTTGCTATTGCCTCTGCTCTTTGGGATTTGGGAATTACGGACCCCAAAGGCAAATTGTCTTTCTGGTTTTCTGGAGAACTCGAATGACGTGGAACCAAGAGATCTCTTGCAGATGTAAATTAAATTTATCAGTACAGAAGGTAAATATAAGCAATGCTTTGTACAGTGGCCCACCTGCTCTACAGCACTCTGTGTAATTAATTTTCTGATTTGTTCTTTCCCTTATTCCTGTGAGTTGAAGAGAAAACCAATACTTACTAGGGTCCAAAAGAGGTAAATAGTGAAGAGTGCGACAGTGAGTGCAATGAGGCCAACAGCTTCTAGCCTACTACTAAAGTGCAGATGGTCCACCGCTCCTCGTAGACACAACCAGCCAGAGATGGTTGCCAGCGGAGTGATAAACAAGAAGCACACCATGTCTCCAAAGAGAGTCCGTTTCTCGTGTTGGGGGCCTGGGTTCTTCAGCCACTGCAGGCAAAACATAGACAAAAGCAAGTGTCAGCACAAGGAGGATGTTCTACCTGAGACAAGGTGCTTTCTTGCAAAATGCAGACTTGCCCCTTCAAGGAGGGAACATGGACCACATGCAGAATGTGGCTTTGGCTGTCCTGTTGATGAACACCTCTAACCATACATACCTACCACGTCATTTATTCAGTTGTAGTCAAAGCTGTTGTAAGAAGGGGAAGTGTTTTGCACAGCGCAGCCCCTGGCATTTGGCTGCTGAACTGTTTGAGAAACTCTCCTCTTAAGATGGAAAGAATCACACGCTCTCCTGACAACTCGAGAATGCAGATAATATTAGTTAATATTTTGTATGCTATTTTAAGATTTGTATTTTTTTACATTCAGCTTGTAATATTGGCAAAGCTATTTTCAACTTGCTTTCTGCATGTAAGCAGAGTTGAATGCACACAAGGTTACTAGGTTACTTTTATTAAGAGGATACTAATCTTGCAAAGTGGAGTGCCTGAAAGTCAACTGCTGAAGAGAAGGTTGACTGAACAGCTATCAAACTCACACGCCCATGTTTCTATAAACAGGATTTTAGAGAGCAGAGGTGAAAGAAGTTCAGCCTGCAACAGTATACTGAGACCTTTTAATAAAAAACCTCATCACTCAAGTCAATATTTGAACAGGAAGACAACCAAGCCCTACAATTTTTGCCAGTGATGTAAGCCATAGGTTTTGGTCAAAAGCGCTCAGCAGCATCTTTCGGTTTTTTGGTTCTTTGAGCATATACAGCCATATGCACGGTACTACCAAGGATAGCAAATATTACTTACTCTGGCACCTGGGTACCCCGATCAGCCTGGGAGCCGTACATATTACCCTAGCCACTGAGGGCAAACACAGCATGCACCGCACAGGACTGTGTCTGCCCCAGGCAGTCCGCGATCTAACCAGAGGAGTCAAAGCTGGGAACGGGCAGGAGAGGTGGAGTGGCCTGAGCTGGGCGCAGGGCAGGTTATCGATTCCCAGTCTGGCATGTCCCTCCCAGGCCCTCGGCTCCAAGCGCAGAGGCCATGTTGAAGGCAAGGAAAGTCATGATCATCCAGGGATGGACAACAAGAAACCAAAGCCACTGCAGTTCTGTGCCAGCGGATGTGGATAAGGCTCACGTGTCTTTAAACTGTTCGGCCCTCTCATTCCCCCCAGCTTATTATACGTGGCAGTAGAAGTCCTATCTCTTTAGCTCCAGAAACTAAGTTTGGGGAGGCAACTTCATCCCTTCACAAGTTAATACACTTTATCTCCAGACACCTCAGGTTTTTTCTTCTTCCCTGTTACAGTGCTACAGCAATGACCCAGAGGAACAGCAGGACTCAAAAGTTTTGACAAGAGGGAGCAAGGCTAAGAGCGTTGTGCAAGCTAATCAATATTTCTCACCTAGGTATCCTACTCCTCTGTTATCTTCAGATCCTGCTTCATCTTTTCCCACTTTGCCCACACCATGAAAACAAATACAGTATTTATCTTGACATCTTCACATGGGGTAAAACAACAGCCAAGAAGCTGAGTGCAACCAGGAACAGGTAGTCATTAATCTGGCACTAGCAGAAAGACACAGATCAGCAGACAAGTTTGCCTCAGCCTCACCACTTCTCAGATGCAAATAATAAATCATCTGCTTCACATGATTTTTGGAGGTTTTACTGCAACACAGTAACTCAGCAGCCTGAGAAACGTGTGGATGTGGCGCTTCAGGACATGGTCTAGGGGACATGGTGGCGCTGGATTAATGGTTGGACTTGATGATCTTGAAGGTCCTTTCCAACCTAGTGTTTCTGTGATTCTGTGATTCTGTGATTCTGTGAGATCCATTTTCATGTGTGACTCAGGAATTCAGAAAACAAAAATACGTTCATAAACATTTTTTGCAGCATGTAGGCTTTTAATTTGCTTGAATACTTTTAAATTCCTAAGGAAGTAGAAGGTGCTTCATAACTGCTATGTACTACTATAACCAAGAAGTTGTAAGGGAACACTAGTTAAAGAAGTAGGCTCAATACTGTTTTTTTTTTCCTTTTCAAGCACTGTCTTAAACTCAAGATTATTTAAAATACCAGAATATCGGGTGTGGTGGGTTCACCCCAACCAGCAGGTAAGCACCCGCACAGCCACTTGCTCGCCTCCCCACCCCATCGGTACAGGGGAGAGAACAGGAAGAGGCTGCGAGCAAAGCTTGCTTCAGTAGAGCCTTGTACAAAATAAGAAGACACACATTTACATTTGAACAGCTTTTTATTTTATTGTAACTTTATAGAGAACGCTATAAAGGCATGTGTGAAAGGCTCACACCACTTTCCCTGGACCTTTCATACCATTTACTTAAAAAAACCCCAAAGGTACATGCATAAGAGTTCCAGGTTATATTTGGTTGCTTCTAGACAGGACTGATTGCAACCTTCACCTTGTTCAATTTCCACTAATCCCTGTAATGAGAAACCATCAGGAAAATGAGAGGAACTTTCAAAAGTGACTGGTAGTGGAGATTCTGCTTTTAAAGATGATTGTGAAAAGGTTTTGTGAAAAGTATTTGTTTAAAAGGTGACCTGCAAGAGAAGCGCTGAGCACCTGCACAACTCTCTGATCTCAACGGGCATTGCAGGTGTTCACCACTTTCCCAGGGCAGACCTTAAAATGCCCATTATCTCCTTATCTCAGCACTATGTAGTGACTGTCTGTCCCTGAAACTGGGTGGTGAAGAACACACTGGAACATTTCAGAGTCCATTTAGTGGAGGCTGCATCCTCAAATTCCCATCTGCGGTGATCCCTTTGGCATCCATGCAGCTCAGCATGCACACGAAACACCGTTTATTGATCTGAGCGAGAAGGAAGAACACCAAGAATACATACATGTGAGGAAGCACACGCATTAAGGCATGTGTTGTCATCTCTGCCCTATGACTTTCACAAGACACGGTGCAATGCACTTGAATTAAGACAGCATTTTATGCATGCCATCTAACTTGATTCAAAGTTTGAGCAGACAAAAATGCTGTGAGACTATTTCACAGGCTGATGGCTCCCTGTACTCCTTATGCCTTGTCTGACCCATAGGAACAAAGAATCAAACCCAAGTGATTCGGGTATTAGATGAGGCTAGGACAGACGAGAGTAGTATTAAGTAATACATAAAACCCTCAGCACTCCACAGTCTAACCTTAAAAGCTGGAGAAATTTCATTAGCTAGTTCTGAAAGTGGAAGTCAAAAGCAACAAATAAGTAATTTCAATGGCTGTCTGGACTTCAGTCACAGCACAAATTTTTCTCCTGAAGCAGTGCACACGTGTTTCTAAATCTGCTTCTGTTTAGATTCCAGCTTTCAGTCTTTCGTTTTGGAAATGCACACTGTCAAGTTACTTTATAGCTAAAAAGCCAAGTCAGCAAATCCTTACTGAAACACAACAATCCCAACAAAGTGCTGAGCTGATTAATTAATGTGGCAGTACAGTAGGGACTACCCTGCTGGCGAGGAACAAGACGTAAGGCCAGATGCAACTGTCAGATCTGCACTATGATATTCTGAAATCTGTCCTATTAAACTGTGTCAATGTGCTCAATCGTTTCTGCAATAGCTTGAGAGTAATAATTTTTATTTTGGAAAAAAAAAAGAAAGGTCATAAAAAGTGTCATGTTTGAAGCAAAATGTTTGCCCTGCCTGGCAAAGCACTATTTTATCAAGTGCTACCTTAGAGTGAACAGTGATTCCTGTTCCTGATATACAGATGGAGGGCCAGAGTAACAAGACATGCACACCCGAAAGTGGAGACGGGCTGAGGCACCTGCGCAATTTGCCAGCGAGGTGAAGCCTTGCATTTGAAGAAGGAAATCATCAGAACAAGCAGCAACCGAGGACCAGAACACCCTGGAGAAGCTCAGACTGGGAATTTACTTAACGTGACCGAAATGAGCTGCCAGCAGAAAACTGCTGTAAAACACCTCCACGAGTTTGAGCTGCTTCACCGTTGCCAAGGGCCAAATCCTGGAAGCACTCCCCTCCACGGGTCTAACTTCAATTAGATGACTCACAAATGCTCAGTAAAGTATGAGCTTAGTGTTTGTCAGATCCTAAGGCTACAACCTGTTTCTACTGGAAAGCCCTTTTTAGTTCACTACATTTCCCTTATGTAAAATTGATTTTACATAAATGTTGCTGGAGTTATACCAACAGCAAGGAAGATTCCACAGAGTATGAAGAAAATCTGTCAAACCGCTTTTTAGTTAAAGGTATTTAGTTCTAACATATGAAGCTAAGGGGAGAAGACAGGAAAGAACTGTCTTCCCTAAATGTGTTTCCCTTTGAACTAAAAATAGCTTATTACACATCAAACGTATCAGTTAATTTCGTTCTTTTCACGCTGATAGCTCTGCAGTGAATCTTGATGAAAGCACTCTGTACACAAGCAAAACTGCTAGCAATTATTGTCATTTCTGGTTTCATGCCAGCAGTGACCAATGGGAGCGTTTTGCCTTGGGCTTTACGCACAGAAGGACTGATATTGCCTATTTTTTTAGAGTGTTTCTCTTGAATGAAGGGCATTTTTAAAGACCAGGAGGACCATTTGTTGGGAGGTGGGGAATTACACCTGAACAGTTTTGTTAAAATACTTTTTTTACTTGAAAAATGTAACCTTTTTCAATAAATTTTTTTGAAACTAAGCTTAACTATGTGTAACTCAAAATAAAGTCTCCCAGACCAGAATGGTATGTATGTTCACTTTCAGTGCAATGAAACATTTCAGGTGACTCCAAACTTTTCCAGGTTAATGCTTTGCCAAGAAAAACAAATATTTGACAGTTAGTTTTCAGTTGAAAAATTACTTATATTTCAGTTTTTGGGTTTCCTGCTTGGATCAAACACTCAGTTACAGGCACAGTGTTAATGTTTTCAGTGGGTGGTTTTAGAAAGCCCACGGTGACAGCTCACAAAGAAGTTCCTTTGCTCGCAGAGACAGAAGC